GTACCCTCATCTTTTCACTACTTCAGATATGTCTCTATGCTCGTTCGAGGACGAACGAATGTTTAAGTATGGGAGGATGTAATGACCCGGCTGGTCGTTTTTAGAATTTACGCCCCGATCCCCTATTAACTGCTTTCCCTGTGTTTATTTCTGCTATTTTGAATTACAGGATGTTCGATTTTGAGTTTTGGAGAGTTTTGGGACACAGTCCCTAAATGAGAGCTTAAGTTTTGGAAATTTGACCTTAGTCGGAACAGTGTGAAGATGGCCTCGGAATGGAACTCCGATGGCTCTGTTAGCTCCGTAATGTTGAATATGACGCTGTGCAAAATTTCAGGTCATTCGGACGAGGTTTGGTAGACTTTTTGATCGAAAGCGTAAATTTTGAGTTTTTGAAGTTCTTAGGCTCGAATTCAATGTTAAATTGGTGTTTCTATGTTGTTTTAGGTGTTTTAAGGATTGTTATAAGTTTGGACAGTGGTATTAGACTTGTCGGTGCTTTTGGTTGAGGTCCCGAGGGCCTCGGGATGATTTCGGATGGTTGACGGAAAGATTGGAAATGGTTTGAAGTAGCTGAAGCTGCTGGTACCTGTCATAACCGCACCTACGGTTTGGGTCCCGCAGGTGCAGAGCCGCAGAAGCGGCATTTCCACCGCAGAAGCGGAATTGGGGAAGTCCAGCAGAAGCCGCAAGTGCGAGAAGGATATCGCACCTACAATATCGCAGGTGCGGAAAATGTGTCGTAGAAGCGGATTTTTGGGACGTTAGTGATTTTCGCAAATGCGGTCGATTCTACGCAGAAGCGAGACCGCAGGTGCGGTCCCTTGACCGCAGAAGCGGAACAACTGGGCAGAAAAGGGGCAGAATCGAGGGTTTTGTTCAAAACTTGGAAAAACTTATTTTGGAGCTCGTGGTAGGGCGATTTTGTGAGGTTTTTGAAGAGAAGATCATTGGGTAGCGATTCCTTGTTCCTTTCTAGTTATATTCCATTAATCTTATCTTAGTTTTATCATTTAAATTCGGATTTGGAGATGAAAGTTGAGAAAAATGGGAAGAAGGTTCTTAGGCCTAGAATTCGAATTTTGATGGGGAATTTGATCTTAGATTTGGATAATTTTGGTATGCATGAACTCGTGAGGGTATGAGGATTCTTAAAGTATAAATTTTACCCAATTCCGAGATGTGGGCCCGAGGGGCGTTTTGGTCATTTCACCTAATTTTGCGCATTAGCTTAGAATTTATTTGTAGAATTAATTACTTGAAGTATTATTTACATTATGCAATTGAATTGAATAGATTTGGGCCATTTGGAGCCGAATACTCGTGGCAAGAACGTGATTTCGGGTTGATTTTGAGCTGGTTCGAGGTAAGTGGCTTGCCTAACCTTGTGTGGGGGACCTTCCCCTTAGGATTTAGTATATTTGTTAATTGAAATGCCTTGTACGTAAGGTGACGAGTGCTTACTTGTGCTAATTGTTGAAAAATCCGGTTCCCATTAAGTACTTAGAATTGTGTTTTCCTTTCCTGTTTACACTACTTGCAAGTTAAGCCTGTTGTTAGCTTAGGAAAGCATGCCTAATTGATTTAACTGCTTATTTGTTCTACTGTCCTATTTGAATTATGTGCAACATGCTAGGTTAGAGATACCTACTTTACCTCGGTGTGAAATTTGATTGAATTGAGTATTCTTCTTGTTGCTGCTGTGTATTTACTTTAGGACTACGGGACGGTATCCAGGGAGATCCCCCTGTATGTTTACTTTGGGACTACGGAATTGTATTCCGGGAGATCCTCCTGCACTTTATATTGGAACTACGGGATTGCACCCGGTAGATTCCTCCAGTATTGAGCATTTATATTTGGGACTACGGATGTGGTATTCCGGTAGATCCCCGCGCATTTATAAGTTGGACTACGGGACTGCACCCGGGAGATCCACTGAATATTTATATTTGGGGACCACAGGACGATATCCTCGGAGATCCCCCGACTATTACTTCTGCGTTGAGCTTTACTTGTTTATCGTGATTACTTGTTTCTATTCAGTTGTCGTTATCCTTTATATCCTGTGTTACTCTTACTGCTGTACTCATTTATATTGCTTTGTTCTACACTGTCGGACTTTGTATTTTATTTAATCTCAATAGGGCCCTGACCTTCCTCGTCACTACCCGACCGAGGTTAGGCTTGGCACTTACTAAGTACCGTTGTGGTGTACTTATGCCCTTCCTGCGCATGTTTTTCATATGCAGATCCAGGTACCTCTACTCAGACTTACCATCCTTGAGGCGAGGCGATCTTTCGGAGACTACGAGGTATATCTGCCGCGTCCGCAGACCGAAGAGTCTCTCTCCATTCTCTCTTGTAGTTACCGCCCTTCTGTATTTACTTTGTTTTAGACATTCTGGAGTTAGAGCACTATGTATTATTCTTAGCTTGTGATTTCATGAGATTCCGGGTTTTGGGAAAAGTAATAGTATTCGAAAGTTGATATGGTGTTTGCCGAGTGGCACTATTAAACACTGTTTTATTCACTATTTGTGGTTTTACTTGTTTTTCTTTCGTAAATTTGGTTTATTTTCCGCATTTTAGGCTTACCTAGTCGTAGAGACTAGGTGCCGTCACGATGGTTCACGGAGGGCAAACCGGGGGCGTGACGGAATTGTGGACATGTTTCATCGTCTCAGTGTCAAGGACAATATCCAAATTCAATGCCAGAACAAAATTGGCAATATGGTCTGTCTAATTCAAATGTACAGACAGATCATCTTCTACCGGATTTAAATGAACCGCCATTATTGCAAGGTAAATATTTGAGTTAACATTTTTTATATGACATGAGTCATTCATAAATATTAACTACATATTTATTATTACTTATTATTAATTTGATGATGTAAAACTTTGTGACGGTGTACCAGCTCTCCACATAAAATATGAAATTGTAAAGTTATATATTTATACCTCCGGAGCTTACTAACTGGCCAGCTAAAGCCCTTTTAATTTATTTATAGTTAAAGTTTTAGTTGCTGACTTTTTTTTTTGTGGGATTATCAGAATTTGTGTGTGATTCGACCAAATCTGGAATGAAATAAACCTATGGCAAATAACGGTCCTTTTGTTCATTTGTGATTATGTTATGCTAATGCATTACTACTTCTGTCCAAAATAATCTCTCCTGAGCCCACCTTACTACCATGTATTTATGTGTTTTTCTAATATAATTTATTAGAAATGTCGCACGTCTAAGTCGTCGAAATGTCACATGCTAAAGGAAAATAGTGCAGCGCATTTGTAATGTCTGTTTTTGAATATACTACTGCATATATGGTAAGCATTACTGTCGTTCTCCTATTGTGATACAAGTGTCTTATGCAAATTTGCTTTAAGACTATAATAAAAGTGAAAAAATTAATTAACTTTAACTATAACTATCCTTGCTCATTGACATTTTGAAGTAATTGTATATTCATGTGAAATGGCTAGATGTTGATATTCAACATATGGATTTACAGTTGTGTGCTTTTCAGTGTTCCGTCGAAAATTCAGCAAAAGCAAGACTTTTTAGCATTTTAAAAGTTAAACTTTTATTTGCTGCCTTTTTTTCCTTCTGTTTATTTTCTTAAGTGGAGGACGTTTGTTAAAATTTTATTACTATGATTCTGCATATATTTTGTGTTTGTGCTTTTACTTTTGAACAATTCACTATGTTAAATGGACCCTATTATTTCAAGGTAAGTATTCCAATAAACTTATAGTTTTGTTTGAGAAACATGAATTATAAATTATGCTAACTATTAATGTTTAAAATTTCTTTTCAGAATTTGAGGATGTCAATATTGTGACTTTAACCCTTTATTTTACTCTCACTATCCTAGATTACTGGGATGTAGGCGATGCTACTTATGAATGTGAATATTGTGGGGCATATTTCTAGTACGAGGAAAGATCAGTATTTAGTTTGTGCTGCAATCGTGGAAAGATCAAGCTACCAAATCCAAAAGAGCCGCCTTCAACCTTAAAGGAATTATTATTTGGATCAGGTTAATAGATAATTTAATTTGAATAAAATAAAACAAAGCAAGAATTTATACGTACATCTTCTTTAACAAACTCTAATTTTATGAAGGTGCAAAAAGTAAACATTTCAGAGAGAATATACGAACATATAATTCTGTGTTCTCATTTACATCAATGGGAGGAAAGGTTGATGTCTCTGTCAACCAAACAACGGGACCGAGAACATTCAGATTATCTGGGCAAAACTATCACCAAATTGGAAGCTTATTACCTCCACAGGGATCTACTCCAAAATTTGCACAATTATATATCTATGATACAGAAAATGAAGTGGAAAATAGAATTCATGCTATCAGGTTAGTATTGATCAATTGCTTAATAATAATATTTTAATAATAAATTTTATAAAAGAAAAATATTTTTACTTGAATTCAATATTTTATTCTTACAGTTATTGTGAAAGTAACAATCAGCTTCATGCTGAACTTGTTGCTGATTTGAAGCAAATGCTTGATGACCACAATGTTCTTGCAAAGTCATTTAGAATGGTAAGAGATCGATTTCAAGAAGATCGAAGCTCAAATGTTAGACTAAGATTTATAGGGAAAAGAGGCTCTGATGGAAGAAGATACAACTTACCGACAGTTTCAAAGGTAGCTGCATTGGTGGTCGGTGATTTTGAACAAATAAGGTCTGGCAGAGATATTATTGTTGAAAGCCAGTCAGGACAACTACAAAGGATAAATGAATTAAATATTGCATACTTAGGTTTGCAATATCCGTTACTATTTCCATATGGTGAAGACGGATACCGAGAAGATATTCCTTTACATGAAAGTGATGATTCTACTGGTGCAAGGAAATGTGTTAGCACGCGTGAATACTTATCATAAAAAATTCAAGAAAGGAAGTCTGAAGTCCCAACAATTGTGTCATCTAAAAGATTATTTCAACAATTCATGGTAGATGGATATACAATGATGGAATCTTCTCGATTGAAGTTTATTAGGCTTCGTCAGAAACAATTGAGACCACACTTTTATAAAGGGTTAGAAGATGCTATTTTGCATGGAGACATAGAACCTTCTTCTCAAGGACAAAGAGTTATACTCTCTTCCAGCTTCACAGGGGGTGCACGTTACATGTTGCAAAATTATCAAGATGCCATGGCAATTTGCAGATGGGCAGGGTACCCTGATCTCTTCATCACATTTACTTGCAACCCAAAATGACCTGAAATTACTAGATTTGTGGAGAGTAGGGGACTATCTCCAGAAGATCGTCCTGACATTTTAACAAGGATTTTCAAAGTCAAATTGGATCGCATGATAAAGGACTTGCGAGACAATAAAGTTTTTGGAGAAGTTAAAGCAAGTATAATATTTATATTCTTTAACAATTGTTACATTATTATTTAAGTTATTATAAGTTAATACTAAAAATATTATATACACATGCTTACTTATCTAATAAATTATTTTTTTGCAATAATTTAAACATTTGAATTTCAAAAGCGAGGTTTGCCTCATGCACAGATTTTGCTTTTTCTTTGTAATAAATACCCAAATATCGCAGATATTGATGGAATAAATTCAGCAAAATTACCGAATAAAAATGTTGATCTTCAATATTATAAGGCTGTTACGAATCTTATGATGCATGGCCCGTGTGGTTCTGCTAGAAAATCTTCTCCTTGCATGCATAACGGCAAATGTACAAAGCACTTTCCAAAAAAATTTGTGCCATCAACCACAGTTGATGAAGATGGGTATCCTATTTATAGAAGAAGGGAGGATGGTAGAACTACATCGAGATCAGGTATTGAGTTGGATAATAGGTATGTTGTGCCACACAATAGATTTTTATTGTTGAAGTATGACGCACATATTAATGTAGAGTGGTGCAATCAATCAAGATCCATTAAGTACTTATTTAAGTATGTTAATAAAGGAAATGATCGTGTCACCGCAACTTTCTCTCAAAGTGTAAATAAGGAAGACTCGGGGGTAGTTGATGAAATAAATATGTATTATGATTGCCGATACATATCACCATGTGAAGCTGCTTGGAGAATTTTTAAATTCCCAATACACCATAGAGAACCATCTGTAGAAAGGCTATCATTTCACCTACCGAATAATCAAAATGTCATATTTTCAAATGATGATCCAATAGATGCAGTTGTGAATAGACCAACCGTAAAGGAATCTATGTTTTTAAGTTGGTTTGAAGCAAATAAGGCATTTTCTGAAGCAAGAGAATTAACTTATGCAGAATTCCCTCTTAAGTTTGTTTGGAAACAAAAATTGAAAAGATGGGAAAAAAGAAGAACATCTGCATTTTCTATTGGAAGAATCTTCTTTGTTCCACCTGGATCTGGCGAGCAATATTACCTTAGATTGTTGTTTAATGTAATTAAAGATTCAAAATCCTATGAGGATCTCAAAAAAATCAACGGTCGTGATCATGAGACTTTTAGGGATGCATGTTATGCTCTAGGTTTATTAGATGATGACAAAGAATATGTTGATGCTATAGTAGAAGCAATTAATTGGGGAATGCCATCATATCTTAGGCAATTAGTTGCTATGCTACTTTTATCAAATTCAATGTCACGTCCAGAAAGTGTTTGGCAAGGAACATGACATTTACTATTAGAAGATATCCTTCATGAAGAAAGAATAATTTTGGATAACCCACGTACACAAATAATGCTTCCAATTTCAAGTTATCATATTGTATTTCTGAATTGTAGATGACTGCATAACTAATTAATTAATTTAATTTGTTAGTACTTCATTCAATTTAATATGATAGTAAATTACGTGAATTTTTTCCTCCACTTTCTTCAAAATAAATCCCAGAACTACATGTTCTAAAAATTTGTTTAGTTATGTTTGTTTTACCTATAGTGTTTCGTTTTGATTATAGGAGTAAGTACGGATGAATGCATTTACTAGACATAAATACTAATAGACAGCTAATTCTTTGTAATTCATTCCGTTACAATTTGTAACAGCTAATAATCAGTACTTATGCATTGTCCACTTTAACTGAAAAAGTTTTGATTTGTTAATATTGGAAATCAAACCCGCCTTTGTTGATATATTATGTATAACAAAATGCATCTTTACGTATTTGTAGTTTCATCAATGAAATGAACCATATGGTTTGGACTGTCAAATTCCTTCAACTTCGATAAAATTAAATAGCCTTCAATTTTATCTAAACCATTATTTTACATTTTACTATTATGTTTATCTTACTATTCATTTCATGTAGCTCAACTAAACATTAATTTATTTTATTGTTATATATTTGTTGTTATTTCAGAAGCTGGTCTCACAGATAATGAATTGAAAAATCGTTGTTTGCAAAAGCTGAAAACTTAAAAGGATATGGAAAAAGTTTTCAGAATTTTCCAACAATGCCAAGGCATGTTTACAGTGCGGAAGAAGTTGACAATAGTAACAGATTAATTCGTGATGAATTGCGTTATAATAGACGCGCACTGGCGGAGGAACATGAACAATTATTAAAGAATTTGACGGATGAGCGGAAGTCAATTAATGAGAAAATAATAACAGCTGTAAATGAAAACAAAGGTGGATTTTTCTTCTTATATGGTTTTGGAGGAACAGGAAAGACTTTTATTTGGAGGACTATGGTTTCTGCCGTAAGATCTAGAGGAGATATTGTGTTAACTATTGCATCTAGTGGGATTGCATCTCTATTGTTACCAGGTGGTCGAACAGCTCATTCAAGATTTGTAATTCCACTCAATCTAACTGAAGATTCAACATGTAATATCAAGCAAGGTACTCCTTTAGCAAATTTGATTGTCAATGCAAAGTTGATTATTTGGGATGAGGCACCGATGATGCATAGATATTGTTTTGAATCTCTTGATAAAACTCTAAGAGATATTCTTAGATTCAAAGATGCATCTAATTTAGAACGACCATTTGGAGGTAAAACAGTTGTTCTTGGTGGTGACTTCAGACAAATATTACCTGTCATCCTAAAGGATACTAAGCAAGATATTGTTAATACTTCTCTCAATTCTTCTTATTTATGGCCTTATTGTCAACTTTTAACGCTAACAAAGAATATGAGATTGCAAGGTAATGAAATAGGGGCTCATGTGGATGAGTTGAGAGATTTTTCAGATTGGATTTTAGCAATTGGTGATGGTATGATAGGTAGTTCAGTTGATGGCAATGAAAAAGTTCAAATACTAGATGATCTTTTGATAAAAGAATATGTTGATCCAATATCTGCAAATGTAGAAAGTACATATACTGATTTCACCTGTCGTTGCAATGATATTGAATACCTCCAACAAAGAGCCATTCTTGCTCCAACTCTTGATATGGTGGAATCAATCAATCAATATATGATTTCGCTCAATCATAGTTCTGAGAAATCATATTTGAGTTCCGATACAATTTGGAACATGTACACACACCAGAATTCTTGAATACTATTAAATGTTCGGGAGTTCCAAATCACGCTCTTACTCTAAAGGTTGGTGTACCAGTGATGTTATTAAGAAATATTGATCATTCAGCAGGATTGTGTAATGGAACAAGGTTGATCATAACTAAACTTGGAAATCAAGTTATTGAAGCCAAGGTTCTATCAGGACATATGGCTGGACAAAAAGTGTTTATTCCTAGAATGACATTGACTCCATCTGATGCTAGAATTCCATTTAAGTTCCAGCGAAGACAATTTCCAATCGTTGTATCATTTGCCATGACAATCAATAAAAGTCAAGGACAGTCATTGTCTCACGTGGGATTATTTTTGAAGAAATCAGTGTTTACACACGGACAGCTATATGTTGCTCTTTCTCGGGTTACAACTAGAAAAGGATTAAAAGTTTTGGTTTATGATGACGATGGACAAATAAGTACTGAAGCTACAAATGTAGTATTTAAAGAAGTTTTTCAAAATTTAATCTGACTATCGAAAGTGTAACGACCCGACCGGTCGTTTCAAGCTTTTGCACTTCGCTCGCCAGTTCTCGAGCATGACTAGCCCCGTATTATGCATTATGACTTATGTAAATTGTTGGTTTTGGTTTTCAGGATAAACGGAAGGAATTTGGAAGAACAGTTCTCAGTTCGAAGCTTGAAATTTGAAAGGTTTGACCAAGATTTGACTTGTTAGTATATGACCTCGGATCGGAAATTTTATGATTTGGTTAGCTCCGTTAGGTGATTTGGGACTTAGGAGCGTGATCAGAATGTATTTTGGAGGTCCGTGGAATTTTTAGGCTTGAATTGGCAAAATTGAGATTTTGACGTTTTTCGGTTGATAGGTGAGATTTTGATATGGGGGTCGAAACAGAATTTCGGAAGTTGCAGTAGTTCCGTTGTGTTATTTGGGATGTGTGTGCAAAATTTCAGGTCATTCGGACGTGGTTTGATATACTTTTTGATCGAAAGCGGAAATTAGAAGATTTTGGAATTCTTAGGCTTGAATCTAATGCAAATTTTGTGCTTTGATGTTGTTTTGAGCGTTCCGAAGGTTGAAACAAGTTTGAATGATGTTATGGGATATGTTGGCATGTTTGGTTGGGGTCCCGAAGGCCTCGAGTGAGTTTCGGGTGGTTGAACGGATGAAATTGCATGTTGAGAAGTTGCAAATTTTTGGGTTTCGGCTGTTGCAGGTTTTCCTTCTTCGCGATCGCGTAGGGAGTCTCGTGATTGCGTAGAGCTTTGATGGGGGGCAGTTCAGGTTGTGCTTCGCGATCGCGTAACTTGAGTCGCGATCGCGTGAGTTGGGCAAGTTGTGCATTGCGTTCGCGTGGCTCTATTCGCGATCGCGTAGGTGTAAGGTCCTGTGCATCGCGTTCGCGTGAGTATATCCGCGATCGCGTAGGGTAAAATTTGGGCCAGCAAAGTTTGTGCTTCGCGATCGCGATGGTTTTCCCGCGATCGCGATTAAGGAATTTTAAGTGCTGGGCAGAATGTTTTAAAAGCTTATTTTCGCGATTTTGAGGCTAAGTTCCTCCATTTTTGGGCGATTTTGAAGCTTCTTGAAGGGAATTGAAGTGAGAATCAAGGGGAAACACTTGGAGGTAAGAGTTATGGACTTTATACTCGATTCTTATGTGAATTCTACCTAATTAATCATGGAATTTAAGCCTAGTATTGAAGAACTAGGGCTTGTAATTGGAGACCTAGAATTTGGGATTTGAGGGGCCATTTGAGGTCCGATTTTGATGTTCTTGATATGTATAGACTCGTGAGAGGATGAGAATTTTATTGATGTGATTTTTATCAAATTTCGAGATGTGGTCACGGGGGCCGGGTTTGAGCAATTTCGAGATTTTCGATGTAAATTGGATATTTTCGAGTGGGCTTTGTTCCCTTAGCATATTTTAATGGTTATGTACTGATTGTGGCTAGATTTGGAGCATCCGGAGGTCGATTCATGAGGGCAAAGGCATCGCGGGCGAGAACTTGGACCGGATCGAGGTGAGTAATGATTTTAAATGTTGTCCTGAGGGTATGAAACCCCGAATTGCACATCGTGGTGCTATATTGAGGTGACGCACACGCTAGATGACGAGCGTGGGGTCGTGCACTGTTGGGGATTGTGACTTAGTCCATCCCGAATGATGGTTTTATCACGTATTTGATTGAAAACTATTTGTTATCATTTTGTTTTGGGCTGAATGCCATATTTGGGCCCTGTGCCAACTATTTGGACCCTTAGGGGATTTTTACTGATATTTCCTTAATATTTGACTTTATTCTTGTACTCAGTCATGTTATATACCACTGTTTTCATAACTCAGCCATGCTTACTCTGTTTAAATACATTAAACGATATTTTTAAATGACAATTGGACTGAGCGTCATGTTTTACTGTTGCCCGGGGGGCTTATGAGATTCTGACTGAGTAAGGCCGAGGGCCTGAGATTTTGTATGCCACGTGGTGGCTTGTTGATATGAGGCCGAGAGCCTATGTGATTATGTCACGAGATGGCTTGATATTGTGCTTGGGCTGTAAGGGGCCCTCCCAGGAGTCTGTACACCCCCAGTGAGCGCGGGTACCCAGTGTGATGATTCTGTTTATTATGTGAGGCCGAGGGCCGGATTGGTTATGCCACAAGATGGCTTGTTATTGCGCTTGGGCTGTAAGGGGCCCCTCCCGGAGTCTGTACACCCCCAGTGAGCGCGGTTACCCATTGTGATATGAGATATAGCCCGAGGGGCTGCTTCTGTTGGTGTTGTGCCTGAGGGGCTATTCTATTGATATTGTGCCCGAGGGGCGGTTCTATACGTGTTTATCTTTTCTAGTTGCCTGTCATTTACTTGCTTAACTGTTAAAAAGGCATTTTGAAGAAGCTTAAATTGAACTAAAGGGACTTTACATATTTTCACTGTTTCACTGTTTTTACTGGCTTTCACTGCTTCTTTATAGCCCGTTGATGTGCCTTTACGTAATTTCTTATTACTCAGTCTGCATTTATTATTATTACTCACTGAGTTGGATTACTCACTTTACTCCCTGTACCTTGTGTGCAGATTCAGGTATTTATGGACCGGTAGCGGGTATTGGTTGCTCAAAGGCAGAGTCATCGGAGTTTAGCAAGGTAGTTGCCCGACGTCCGCAGCACTGCTTTTCT